TTGGATTAGATTTGAGCTATTTATTTATTTAAGTAACTGTCGAATCTTTTATTTAGGTCTAAGATTTTTGTATGGTTGAATTTTAAAGTGTAAGTTATTGGGTCAATATTTATTAATGGAAAAAAAATTTTAAATTTTGCAGGGACGAGTCAAAATTTTTGCAGGAGTAAAATTGAAAAATATATTATAAATTAAATAGGAATAGTGAACCAGCAGACAATGTTGAGAGGCGATCGCCCCCCGGCCCCCCTCTACCCCACTAGCTATTTTTAAAACATTAAAAAAATCGTATTTCTTATGGACCCATTTTTGGACTAATCAATGACTCACCAACTAAAGTAATAGTTACCCTTTTTTTGTAACTTTATAGATTTTTCATTTGTTTGCACATTTTAAATTGTTCAATTTGTTCTATTAGGAATGTTATTAATTTTGAAGATTGTTTGTGATTTATTATGCACATACTTCGCATTTTAACAATTTTGTTGACATTTATTTTTATCTACGGGGAGGGGCAAGAAAACACCTCAATAGACTATCGATTACGTTTTTTAACATTAGACTATTGTAGGGATGTCAAAATCGCAGACTGAAAAGCTCGGGCACAGCTCGCCTTGTAAAAAATCGGACCATGCGAGCGTTCCGAACCGGGATAAAAAAAGTATAACCTAGCCCGGACCGTAAGCCTGCATGGGTCGATTTTTGGTTTGGGTGGTTCGGCCCACTTGTGTGTTTTTTTTTTTTTTTTGTGTCATTTCAAAAATAAATGGTAAAAATTACATTTTATAATTATAGTAAAAATCGATAAAAGTTACATAAAAATAAATTTTACTTTGATTTATTTTTCGATAAATTTTACATCATTAATATAAACTTATAATTTTTCAAACAATATTTTGCTTAACTTGACAAATTAAATAGTTTTTAACTATTTATAAACTTAAAGTTAAAGTAAATACTAATTAGGTTGGCACCTACTTAAATATAATTTCGTTATTACAAATCATATTCTATTAAT